GAGCAAGACACGCTTGTAGTATACAGGTGAGTGCTGTGACAATAGTCTCGCCTCCCCATTGTAGTAGTGCTGGGAAAATGCCGTCGCTTCCTGCCGCCTTAAAGGGAGAGAAGCTGCTGATGGCCCATCTCACCTTTTCAGACGTTACAATTTCTGTTGCAAGGCGCCAGCATCTTTCCGTCGGTGTCGGCGTGACATCATGCCATACTACCTGTTCAATTGATTGACAGTTTGGGAAATGGGTCTGTAGTAGGATATGATTGGATTCATCCTGGCTTTGGGACATCGTGCCGTCAGGTCTTCGGAGAGTTCCCAACGTGCCAGGACCTTGCTTCGCCAAAATTTTCCTTACCCTATTTGCCTGTGTTGTGGAATTTATCTCTTCGGTGAAGCTACGCCAAGAGGCTGTTTTCCAGTATCTAATACGTTTTTTGTACTTAGCTTTAATGGCTTTGTAGTTGTCCCAGTCCAATTCACTCCGGGTGTTCATTGCTCGGTTAAATTTCTTCCTCACCTTGCTTCTTATTTTCTGTAGCTCGGGACCCCACCAGAGGTGTTTACCCGAACCTTTGGATTTCGGAAGCTTGAGAGGGCAGGCCTCCTTGTAACATTCAAGGATGCAATCGGAGACCATATTTACCTGCTGTTCTATTTCTACCGTGGTGTCGATTCTACCATTTTCACAGCTCGTACACAGTTTCTCTGACACCAAACGATTGTAATGGGTTTTGTTAGTTTTTTTGGGGTACCTTTTAGGGACGAGGTCAGTGATCGGTACCTGTAAGTCGAACCGAATCCACCGATGATCAGAGCATGACGCCTCTTTCGATACGTGCCAGTCCGATATCGCTGGCCCTGTTTCCGGGGTCGCGAGAGTAAGATCAATTATGGAGCTGCCGATCTTGCTCACAAAGGTGGGTTCGTTTCCTCTGTTCATTATCAATAAGTTAGTGGTCAGAAGGAATTCAACAAGTTGGTTACCTCTGATGTTGCTTTTCTCCATTCCCCACAGGGGGTGATGAGCGTTTGAATCCGTTGCGATGATCAGTTCCACATTTTCCTGCGCGCAGAAGCGGACCAGTGAGGCAACCTCCTCTGGTGGGACTCGCTCCTTTTCGTGCATGTAAGCAGACGCTAAGATCATATCGCAGTTATAATTATCATGTTTCATTGTCAGCCTTGTGGCGCAGAGATCTCTGGAACAGAAATTCGTTAAAGGCTGTGTTCTAATGTCTTTGGTAGTGTATATACAGGTTCTTACGTCATTAGTAGTGGCTTGAATGAGCTTACCTCCCAGACTGGAAAGTCCTCTTATCTCGCCACCCCTGATCCACGGCTCCTGGATCAGTGCGACCGCTGTTGTATTTACCTCCAACCATCTCCGAAGCTGAGCCGTTGCGGTGATGCTGTGTTGGAGGTTGGCTTGCAGTATCTTCGCACTACTGCAGTGGGACGCCATCGTCCTCGCAATTGACGTCCTCGATCTCCAGCTCGCTCAGCCCCAGGAGGCATCCCTCACTCAGAGGCGATGAAGCCTCGTGCGAGGGACCGGGGATGGCGTCGTCTGGAATCGCCGCGGACGTAGCGGTGGCGTGTGGTAAGCCGGCGTCGGGCGTGGGTGCCGGTGTGGGTATGGGCGCAGAAGTGGCAGCCTGTGTTGGTTCCGGTACCGATACCGAGGAAGTCGCACTGGGGTTGTTCGTCGGCGGAGTGTCGACGTACTTCCCTCTCGCGTCCCTGAACTTCAGGTACACGGACCCCGTCATAAAACAGAGTCTGCGCCCCTTAGCCAGGATCGCGGATACATCCTCCTCAGGTATCGATAGGAGAACGAAGGTTGCTTCGAATTTTGGCTGTAGATGAACACCGTTGAGCAGCCATCTTTCGATGTTCAAATCTGGATTTCCGATCGCCAGGCATTTGCCTAGCATAACCCGATCCTTCTTCCAGAGTTTAGGCAGGACGAAGCCGCACCTAACCCGTTTGGGGATCTCTTCCGCCCTAAGGACAACAAGATTTCCTCCATCTGGGCTCTGTACGTTCCGTACCTGCTGTCGTACCCACTCTAGGGTTTGTGCGTTGCCGCATGTGTACCTTAGACACCCGTCAGCGTAAAGCGGTTTCCCACTAAACACCAGGGCGACCTTGGAACACTCGCGGAACGCAGTCTCACTGGCAATCTGCATGATCCCCTCCTCAATCTTCTCCTCGACTAGCTCGGCCGTCTCACGAGAGATGTATCCCTCGCTCGACGTCACAGCGAATCGAGTTTCCGATGTGGAGGCGGTCACAGTTGCCGATGTTGCGGAAGCGTAGGAACGCTTGGAGATGGAGTTAGAGCTGGGTCCGGTTGACGGCTCCGTCTTTTGCCTTTTGGGCTCTCCCCTCGGAGACACAGTCTCGTCGAGTCGGGCCCTCTTGGCGCTGGACTTTGCCTTTCCCTTCCCCTTCCCTTTCCCCTTTGGCAGTGGGCGGTCCCTCCCGTGACTTGGCTCCGGTCCCGCCTGGGTTTGCTCAGGCAACAAGTTGTCTGTCGCTCCCCCATACGTTCTCGGTGCCTTGTCCCGACTGGTAGTGGGCATCGTTTGGGCTTGCTTGGGCAGTGGCAGGTTACCCTGTTTCCCACCTTTCGCTCCCCCTTGCGTTCCCTCCACCGTGCCGGTGTTCGGGGCAATTTGGTTGCTAGAAGAAGCTGACATTCGGGATTCCCTCCTGCGCTGCTTCTTCCTTTGCATCCGTGCCTTCTGCTTCTCCTTGCGTTTGGACACTTGTAGAGCAGTCTGGGCAGTGGCGGACAGAGTTTTCTCTGCCGCCTTTCCACCCTTTTTGCCCACTTGTGTCCAACCTGGCTCCAGCAGTGTGTTTGTCCCCTCATGGGGTGTAGGTGAAGTTTGTGAGCCTTCCGGTTTCCCTTCAGGCGTGTTGTGCTCTCCTGAGGACGCCATTAAGACCAACTCACGAGAGGGTGTATTGGTGTCTGTTTGTGACGGTGATTTGAACCTGTTAGTGTCCATGTTTTGTATGGTGTATAATTCATCCAGTCCGCTTCCCACCCTCCACGGAGCCCGCACATCTGGGAGTGTCCTATTAAAAGGTACACTAGGACTACAGACTGGATATAGATGTAGGGAGTTAGTATTCAGGTGCGACATCGGAAGCTCGAAATGAGTGGCTGGGTTACCGGTTCAGAGTCCCCCAGTTGTTCCACTCATCCTCACCTCGTCAGCATGACCCTAACTACCTAGCACAGAAAAACTGCACCAGACCCCCCCACATCTCGCAGCGGCCCTCTGACGGGACGCTTGACCGTTTCCCCTCTGGCGCTACCCAGAGGGGCTACCGTTTTGGTTGAAATCCGGACCAAAGAGGGCGTGTTGCGTTGCGAAGGTACTACCGCCGACCTCGCTTCGCTCAACCCCCCAGGACTCCTTCATCCCCCCTTACGGCGATCAACTGCGCAGGCCCTAGCGCAGGAGGGGCTAGTTAGTCTATCGGCTGGCCCCCCACCCACCGATAGAACCGAGGCTTTTGTCGGTCAGCCTAAGGAGTTTTGTAGGAAAGGGAGGATCAGGGTAGGAATGTGTTTATCAGGAGTGGATCATGGGATACATAGGTATGAGGATTCCCTTTCCGTGTTGGAGTGCACTGGAAAGGTAGCGACAGATGATTTCGCTACTTGGATCCCAGGGTAGATGGCGTTGTGCGGTGCCTGTTAATGGTTCCAAGTATTACCGAGGTGAACGACGTGGACGTACACCTGTCACTTGACGGTAGATATATCCTGCTCAACACCGCACACTTGAGCATATACCAGCCGCCCTTCACCCCCTTCACCGGTAGCATCTTGCACGGGTACTAATCCAAGAAGCGCATCTCTTATTTCCCCGTTCTTGTAATATCTTACGACGACAGCTAAAAGTTTTACACATCCTCTATCTGTACTTTCATCTATTAAAAGGGAGAATTTGCTGGTTTTTAGATCAGCTACCAGTTGTTCTTTTTCTGAAGCGCCTGTTACAGATTTTATTATAGCTGTGGTTTTTGTTCGACTACAAGAAATTTCCTTTGCTATTGTGGAATCTTTGCATACAGCTTTTACCAACTGGGGGAGGTGTCCCATAACATAGATGGAGAGGTTGTGCTCAGCAACAAAAGACGCCAATAGGATTTCACCTCTTTTAACATCGTCAGTAATATTGGATTTCATAAAAAAATCGGTGACTGGTTTTTGTGTTGCACTTGTACCAGGAACTGATGCTTGGTGTTTGGTAGTTTTCATGTGGCGCGCAAGATCATTTTTACCACCTCCTCCGATAGCAAGGTCGGTTAAACAATATTTACTGTATGCGTAATCTTCACCCTTTTGACTTCTTTTTAACCATGGCGAGAAACAACTTTCCTCCAACCAACTTTGATTAAAACTTTGCGAGTTCCGTTTCTTTTTAGCTAACATTATAGTGGATTTACGAGATATGAAAATCTAGACAAGATGTCTGGATAATGAATGATATAAATTATGAGTGATGATAACCTAACAAAACTAAACAGACGAACATACAATAGGTATTCTTCCGCGCAATCCATCTTCCGAAATTGGTCGAGTAATATTCTAATACACGTTTCGGTAAATCCCCGGTCAACAACACTCGGTTTTTTTAAATTAAAGCTTTTTACGGCTCTGGGAACTAGGTCCTTTTGAGCCTAACAATACTCGGCTATCAATTGGGTTGCCATAGCAAAAGTAATTTTAGCACCCAGTTTAAGGGACAAATAAATATTTAGGACCAAAATGTATTAAAGTTTGAACCATTTACTTATATTATTTTTTGTATTCACACACATGAAAATGTGAATTTAAAAAATCTGTACAAACCTAAAGTGATATCTGGCATCTGTATCAGGAGCCAAAAATCTGTACCAATACAGATAAATCTGTATATATGGCAACACTGGATTTACAGACCAAGAATCCATAGCCTAGGTATGTACCATCTTTACTCCACGTGACGTGATCTTTTTTAAGTGAATTGTGGTCTGTGAGACAGATTAATTTTTGATGAGTTCGGCTGATAGAATTTTATTTAATTTCTAATTTAATTTATTTTATTTCCTTATAATGATTGACGGTCGTGCAAATGTAAGTTGAAACATTTATACAATATTTTTGATTTGACTAAATCTATCCTACTTAGTGCTTATTTTTTTTCAGGAATTACCCGATTTTCAAGTGTTTCGGACAGTAATAAAATACTGTTTGGTTATTATAATCTTACCCGTCTTGGCATTTCTTTCAGCTAAGATTGTAGTATTTGATACTATATTAAGATTAGAACCTATTTCCAGCAGTGTCTATTCCGCAGTTATAGCAGTAGTCGTCCTACATGTTACGTTAGGATTATACATTTATAGAGCCTATAGCGAATCTGAAAGGATTCCTTCGAAACCCGTTAAAAAAGATTAACTTTTTATATTTTAACAACTTAAGTAAAGTCAGTCATGATGAACAATTTATTTATGAAGGGAGAATTATTGCAAGTTCATACCAAAAATTCAGAAGTCATTGAAGGAAGATTTTATGCAATCAATAGTGATAAGTCAAGAATTTCTCTCTATGACATCAAAGAAGAACTTCAAGGAATAAAATTGGATGGTGTTTGTCACTACTACAACACTGAAATACAGAATATAGTTAAACTGAAAGACAAAGAACTTCCTAAACATTTGAAGATCTCCCAAAAAGAGTGTGAAGATATAATAAAACTTTCAAAAAAGTTCATTTTCATTAATCAAATTGATAACAATTTCCATGATGCTCTAGATGATTTAAATCATTATAGCTATGTGGGACTGAGTACTGATGGTGCAGATATGGGCAGAAAGTGTAAAATGCCTTTTCTGGTAATGTCAACACCACAGCAGATATACATATTTGATATTCAAGTGATGCAGTATCATGCTTTTGATGCAGGCTTAAAACAACTTTTGGAAAGTGAAACACCAAAAAAGATTGTACATAACTGCAGGAAAATATCAGATTGTCTTTTCCACAAGCACAATGTGAAATTGAATTCTGTATTTGATACTCAGGTAAAAGTCCAGACAATTTTCTTATGTTATAATTTGATGAAGCTTTACCTTTACAAGAGTATTATTGCAGGTTGCAGACTTGATTATAGCTAGGAACAAAATGGGATGTTTGCCTACTGCAGTCAAGTCTTTATCTGAATGCTTGACTTCATATCTTGGTCTCCAATCCAACATTATTGAAGAAAAGGTTTATTTTTATCCTATTTTATGATATTTATTCTAGATGATTTTGCTCTATTATTAAACAATTATATATTTTTCAGATTGATATTGTGCAAAGTACAGAGCGTCCTTTATCACTTAAAATCAAGGAAAATCTAGCTAAGAATATAGCATATATCCACCGTCTATCTGAGATAATCAGTGATGAAATGGCCTTGCCTTTTGTGAGGGGTGTGCAATATTTTGTTGATAATATTCGATCATCTGATGACTTCAAAGCTTGGGAACTATGTGGTAAAAATAATCAAATACCAAAGGAATTAAAAAATGCAATAGAATATTAAGTGCAACACATTCCACAAAATAAATTTATAGAAATATTATTTCTAAGTTTTATGCTCCTTTTTGTTCAGTGCTTCATGAATTTTTAAACTTAATAAGGACTAGTTCATAAAGTCAATATACATAATATGCATGTCAGTATTATGAATTTCATCATAACAAGAATTTCTATGCTTTTGTTGGATATCATACATTAAGGCTTTTTGAAATACTGGTAAGATTTATCTAAAAGTGTAGCGTTAATTGAAGGCTTGTGTGAGTTTACTGTGATTGCTCAAAGCAGATTTATTTTTCTTATGTATGTATGTGTAGTCCAAGTAGTTTAAAAGTGTGAAGCTTCTGGTATTTAAACTAGTATTACTGTCAATGAATTTTTTTTTCAATAAATGGTCACATGAAGATTAAGCTTTAAATTTTTTAGCATTGCAGTGTAAACCTAACTTGATATTGTCAGTAAGATGGATATATATTTTGTGAGATGGTTTATACAATAGTGTGGTATAATGTAGACTTAAAATGTATAAATAACAAACCACTACAAGTTTAAAAGGAGTGCTTGCTTAAATAAATCACATTAATGTATTTCAAGAATCTCTTTTATTTACATGTATAAATAATCAATGAAATAGTTAATTTAATCAATGTCTGAATTTGAAATAAATTAATTTCTTTATTCCACGTGGAAATTGTGTAAATTATAGGTTAAATTACACTCTTTCCAATTCTTAATTAATATTTGACTTTTCTAAAAACATTACAACTTACAAGGATCTAGAGGTTACTGCTATTAATGCTGCATTCAGCTGGCTGAAAGTTGCAATTACACCTCAATCATTGAAAGCTAGTTTCTTGATAGTTACTTACAACATTATTGAGTATCTACACTTATTTTTGTACATAAAAATATACTTTATACAAACTGTAACTTTTGTTATACTAGCTGTCTTTAACAAAACTTCATCATTTCAGGCATTTAGGGGAGAAGAGTATATTCAAGATCATGGTCTCATACCATTAGATTAGTTTCATGATAATAACTTATCATTTATAAAGCGTAATATTCACGACATAATTATTTTAATCACAAATTAACCTAAGTAATAAAATATTACTATACTATAGGTAAATTTGGCTATCCCGATAGTTTGCGGGGGGTTACCCATACCCAGTTCTCCGAACGGAACTTCAATTGATAGGAGGAGCGGGCATATTTTTTCTCATGCCTCTTCACACGCTGTGAAAGTTCGGCTACACACGGTACGATATCTTAAAAGTTACACCAAAATAAAAAATAAACCTATATAAACAATAATTAGGAGATAATTATGTTGTTAAATATATAATTTGGCAACATAACTTTGAGTCTGTCAATTTATTTTTGTGACGCTAATTCGTGCTTATCCATGCCGTAAAATAATAAATAATACCGTGTGTAGCAGTCTCAATAAAAATGTTTAGCTTAATATATGCATATTTGTGAAATAATATATATGTAACTTTTGAAAGATAATTAATAATATTAAAAAAATATATAATAAACGTAAGCCAAAATATAGCCGCACAGTCGCACCGTGTCCCATAAACCTTAGGGAGGGCTAATTATGGGTGGTTTACCTACAGTACAGTATGGTATTTATAAAGTGACTTGACTCTTCAATTCTTGCCATTTTGAATCGAGCCTTACAGATCCTTACAAAAGAACACTCGAATTTTAAATATAACATTATTCATTTATTTTATAGTCCTGTATTTTGTTATGTTACTTGTCTTAAAAATAGATTGGGATAGAAAGTTAATCCTTCCATAGATTCATCTCGACACGCCATTCCCAAGCGTTCGGTAATTAGTAGATGTTCGCGCGCCAAAAGGACAGACACATTTGCAATCTGAGACAGCTTCACAGGTGTTAAGAACTCGTTGTCTTCAAACTGTAAAAAAAGACTTGATTATATTATTTCATTAACATTATAGCTCTATTAATGTCCCCCACTGCTGGGACAGGCCTTCCAATTGATAAAATTGAATAAGATACATTGGTAATGCACAACCACGCGACCTCGGATTAGTGGGTGTTAACAAACACAAATGCATGTTCCAGCAATAGCTTAACGTCCGATTCAAATGACACTGCGAGTTTGCGATATATGTGGGTAAATGTTATTCGGATCCACAAGATACTAACATACAATATTGTATGGCAACAACATTTAGCTTCGATCTCGGACTGTCGTGTTTTATTTACCAGCAGACATAATTATCTAGCAACTAGATAGATAGATAAATGGTTTATTGGACCACAACTCTCACTACATTACCAGTTATTATAAAGTTACGGTCTTATGTTAAGCAAAATGTCAGCTACAGTACGAAGTTTGTCTGTTTTCTATCATACAATTTAAGTGGAGAATATACGACAGTTGTTTACATCAATATACAATATTGAATACTAGTATGCAAATTGGAAGTTAATGTGCATTACTATTAATGCACTTATCGGATTAGACATATTAATTTAGAATACCTACAAGGGTTTTACAAACAGCGGCGCTTACACAATATTTCACTCTCAATCCTAACTATTTACGTCTAATTTAACTATGGTTTTTTCATATATAATATTTTATTTGCTAGCTAAGACTTGATGTGCTAATTTGAACTGTGTTAGTGGATTGCTATAATCATTGATCTTATTTAAATGATTATAATAATGATAAATTTTGTTACCAATCCGCTTATATTCTTGGCCACTTCGTCATCTCTTTGGTTGTTCAATTGTAACACACAGGCACCACTAGGAAACTTTCTCAAAGACATTGGTGCATCAATAGTTTGTAACAGCCTGGAATAGTAATAGATCCAATATTTAAAATATATCAACTTAATTAAAGAAACTTCAAAATCAAATAAAGTTTTGATCTTACTTGCAAGCGTTTAATAAATCTTCTGGTGATATAAGCTCTAATCCTCTTGCTCTATTAACCCGGCACCATACATCAGCTAATGACATTATACCACCGCAGTCCTAAAATATTTAAATGTCATATTTTGGATTTAAAATTCATCATACCTTAGCAACTATAAATTCATAATTTACATAGTTATTGCTTTAGTTAATCCAAAATGGTCATTATGAAGGACATCTGGCTAAAATTATAAATTTGTTATAGTTAATTCAGCTTCAGACATTAAGCATATTATCTACAGATTATTTGTTATAATCTCTAACAGTGTTATTAATGAATAAGGTTTAGCGTTGAAGTAAATTTATGCTGAGACTGCACTTAGTATTAGTCAAAATTCATATTATTAAACAGACTTATACACCATTCATTATAGCATTAGACAGAAGTTAAATAAGGTTCTTTTTATGGTATACTTTGTGACAAAATATCAATAATCATGTTACTTTTAAGACTGACGGCTAATTTGCTACATATCTACTATTACTGTTGTCATTTAAGCTATCTATTAAACAAATTTATGAGTATATGACTAACTTAAATGATTTAATAACTATTACAATAAAAAGTGTTCATCGTAAAGAACCTAAAGAAGCAGGGTTGGATAGTTTCGGCACGATTCTTATGTCACTATAACTCTACCAAATTTAAAACGTTTCCTAACTCCTTTCAACTTTTGTATTTTGTCAGACTATCTATTATTTATTCATAATTGTTAAAATCGTAATCTGGGATTGTCATCCATTGTGAATGCTACTGCCTTTCTTGTTGTTTTGTTTTTGTTAATAAGTTTTGGTAAATATGGACGATGCCGGTGCAGGCCCGAGTGGCCTACAAAAATTACGCGCTCGCGCTAAAATTTCGCACGCTCTAAGCCCCCATACTCTTCATCAATAGTCTAACTAATTACACTTACAATTAGAATTTATCTAAACAACAGACAGATAGTTTCAGTTGTAGTTCCATGTTGGCTTGGGACTAAAAGATGAATCTATTAAATGCTGTCGTCATCTCAACCCTGAGGTATCATAAAAAATGGAAAATTGCCCAGCTCTTTCAGGCTACCTAATGTTCAAAGTTTCAACAAAACTAATATATATTATTTAAATTTATCTTAAAAATAAAATGTTCTGCACTGCTGCTTCTATGGCCCTCTTTTTTCTAATGTTATAATGAATGGAGTATAGTGAAGGTTAACCTAGTACGAGGTTCTACGGGAGTAATATTTACTTCTAGAAGGTAGTAAGTTTGCTTATTCTCTGTATAATATAAATAAGGACTAATACTAATATTGCAATTTTAGCTTAAATTTACTATGATGCTAAACCTTGTTTATTAATAGCACTGTTAGACTATAGCTTTAACAAGCATACCATTAATACAGCAACCATCATATCACATATTTGTTGTGCGAGACCCATGTAATAATCTGAATCAGATCTAAATGCATCTCTAGTGACAGGATCATCAATACCCAGACTCATAAGATAGGATTTGAATCTTACTGTGTCATCTTCTGATATATCACCTTGTTTTTCCTAAAATTATAAATATTACAATTATTACACAATATTAGTCTTACATGTACATATTTTAGGAAACTCAGTGGCGTAATGTATGATTGCTGCGTGTGATCATTGTTGTTAAGCAGCAAGCGATGGGTAACCAAAAGTTTATTATATTGAGCTACTCCATATTTCGGAGAGCAGCTTAAGATGTTGGTCCCAGCTGCATTTGCAGTAGTTAATAACATTCAATCTGCTTGGTCCAGAGTGATGATAAGAACCATGGCCCATCGTTCTTAACTATCCACAAGAAAGGCCTGATCCCCTGCAGTGTTGTTGTTGATGATGTTAATTTTTGTGTTATTAAATGAACTTCTTTAAACCAAATTGAATACTTTTTAATATTCACCCTGATTTTTGTTGAGATAGCTTTTGAAATTGCCACCATGTCTTTGGCCTTTTCCATCAGTTTTGTCAAATCTTGGAATGCCACACTTATACTTTGATCAGTGGCTTTCTGTTGTTCTTCAATACTTCTTTCAATACCAACTATTCCTGATCTGATTTTAGAATTGACTGATGCCACAGATGGCTTTGTTGATGTAGTTGTGCTTGCTAAACTTGAAGACTGGACTGGTGTTGCTAATGATCTCTCCCATGCTTTAGCGGCAATAGTATCTTTCAAAGCTTTGTAGAAAGCAGGATCAATACCATCTTTGAAAGAAAACTTTACAAAATGATATGCACTAACAACTGCAGGACCAGGTCTTTTTCCTGTAAAAACATAATACTATAAGTTGATTACTTTGTTTGTCTTCTACAACAATTTTCTGTGCCGAGCAACATTTTTATATCGCCATGTATTCAATATAGCAGAAATAAAAATAATATTAAAGGTTTAAGCAAACTCTATAAACATCCAGTAGGAAAGCGACCAAAGCAACTGTAGATAATAATTATATTAAATTAACATAACAAACCTGGCAGTGCTGGGGATAAGTTAAGTATTATTCTTTTAGGTCCTCCTAAGCCGAAAACTCCACCACTTTCTTCTTCAACAAAAAATACATAGTACAAGTGTAGAGAAAGGCAAACTAATCCTTTAGGTATGTCACCTGGTTTTCCCCATAATATTCGGTGGGTAGTTAGTACAACCTCACCGTCTGTAAATTGTGTCTGAAAATAATAAATTTGTATTTACAGTTCATATATGTAGACAATAAAGACAAAAAGTTTGCGGGTTATTTTAATAATCATACCTTGTCGTCTCCATCATAGATTTTGACATTTTTGTCACGTTTAACATAATTTTCTCCGTCAAATAAACGTGCTTCAATGTATTCGAAACGATCCATATTTTCATTTTATAATTTATAGCATTATTTACAAAATGATAAAACCAATGACGAACTATTTAAAAAAAAAACTACAAAAAATTATGTCACTAGATGGCAGCACAAATTGTTGGATCTAAACGTCACTTCATGATGTTAAACCAAAGAGTATTCTTTTTGGTTGGAATTGTCAGTGTTGTATCAGTGTGTATGGATCTGATTAGGGAATGCAATTTCGCGAGATTGGGGCTCGGGCGAGATCTCGTGAGCTTATGAATATCAATCTCGCGAGATTGAGATATTTGTGTGTTTACTGTTTTTACAGTTACTGTGTTTATGCAAATATTGTGGTTTGAACATACAATTAGGTAAATGTATATTCAAACCACAATTGTAGCAGATGGACTGTAGCTGGATTTGAAAGCGGGTAGGTAGCAGATGTCTCGAATAAAACACTTGGTTCGGGGAAACTCGGAGAACGTTCGAAGGCAGAACATGCTTTATTGCGCAAAATCGAATTCTTATATACAATTTGATTGATTGCACTTAGCTCATCGGCCCGAAGTAGTCGACTCCGCAGTAGGTGAAAGACCGGTGATATGGATCGACTCGCGCAGCGGGCACGTGCCACCTTGCGTACCGATGACCGGAGGTGTAATATGCAGTATTAATGGCGGAGGTCATTGACAACTTGTTTCCTCCCCCCGTGATTCGCCATCTTATGTTTCTTCATAATTAATAGACGAGTGAGTGGGTGTCGGCCGTCTAATATAGCGGGTTCCTTTGTTTCGGCGGACACCTTAGCCGCGCGTATCCTTCCATTAAGGCGCAGCGTACCGTCTCTCAAAACGGGGTCCAATTTGAAAAGTCGACTCGACTTATTTACAGCCTTTCCATCGCGTAGGTTTCGTAGCTCCGCGCTGAAGCTATCTTGTTGTAATTTTCTTATCCACATTCGTTCGGCTTCCTCTAAGTGACGGACTTCGAGACGGGTAGCTCGTCTTCGACACCAGTCGACGAATAATAGGGCGTATGCGGTGGTCCTGATGAGCCGCTCGTATGACGAAAAGCGGCCGATGTCGGGAAGGCACGGTTCCGGCTCCTCGGTGGTGTAGCCGATGACTTCGATGTCTTCGTCTTCCTTCTTGCTCTCTTCTTTCGCCCACGTGTGTCTCGGTTGGCGTAGGAAGGCTGGCCCGATGAACCATCTGTCTTGCGCGGTCACTGTCTTCCGCTTGGTCCTCGTCGCGTCGTCAGTCATCGCCAGTCCTTTGATCTGGTGCGTTCCGCTAACTCCCCCAGGCGGTGCGCTACGAACGGCGTGTAGCGACGTGCGTCGTTTCTTATTCAATGAAGGACTGTCTGACTATCGCTCCAGTAGGTAACGCTGTCCGGTTCCCACTCGTGCTCGGCGATGACGGTGTCGGCCAGTCGTGCGCCGATGACCTCCGCCTGTAGCTCCAGTCTCGGTATGCTCTGAGTCTTCAAGAGTGCCACCTTTGATTTAGCGGCGGCGAGCACGACGTCGCTGGCGTCGCAGAACACGTGCAGCTCCTTACGCCTTGCCGTGCCGTACCAGCGTGGTAGGCGCAGCTGCGCGACGTTCTTTCGTAACTCGTGCAGCCATCCGTCGAAGTCATTTGCTTCGTCCTCCGGCAGTGGCTCGTCCCAGTCCAACTTCTTTCTCCACAGGTTCTGAAGAAGTATCTTCGCTCGTATAGTGAACTGGCTCAGTAGTCCCAACGGGTCGTATAAGGACATGACTGCCCCCAATGCTTCTCGTTTTGTAGGCGGTCGGTGTCGCTCGACGACTTCTTCCGGGACTCGGTGCAGGGCCGTGTTGAATCCCAGGTGGTCGCTCTCGGCGTCCCATAACAGGCCGAGCGTCTTGTACGGTGACGGCGCGAGGTGTGTGGGGCTCTTCTGTCGCAGTCCTTCTTCGACGTCCCTTAGTGCGCCAGTCGAGTTGGAGTTCCAACCTCGTAGCTTGAAGTTGGCTTGCGCGTGCACGTAGATCATTTCGTTGACCGCGCGCCTCGCCGTGCAGACGTCCTCGAAGCTCTCGACGAAGTCGTCCATGTAGTGGTTCTTCGTGATCGATTTGTGCGCGACCGGATGGGTGAGCGCGATGTCATCTGCGTTGCGGTTGCGCACGCTGTGCGCGATGAACGGCGAGCTGGATGCCCCGAAGATCACAACTGTCATCTTGTGCTTGCGTGGCGGCTCATCCGTGTTGTCTCGCCACAGGAACATCTAAGCTGGCTGATCTTCCTTTCTCACGCGGATGCGAAGGAACATTTCTTGGATGTCCGCCGTGACCGCAACTGGATGCTCTCGAAACCGGAACATAATCCCTTGCAGCGATTGTAGCAAGTCCGGCCCCACCAGTAGAGAGTCATCGAGGCAGACTCCGTGTGACTTGTATTTGACGCGGCGGCGTCGAATACTAGGCGCACCTTTCCCGGCTTGTTCGGGTTGTACACCGGGAAGTGCGGTAGGTACCACCTCCTAGGGCTCTCTTCATCGCTTCCGTCGAAGAGTGTCGCGTAGCCCTTTTCTAATAGCGCTTCGATTTCTTTCTTGTATCTAGCGGCGAAACTCGGGTCCTTTCTGAACTTGCATTCGACGTTCCTTAGTCAATGAGTGCCGCGTTGTAACTAGGTGGGGTGGTGACGTCATCATTGCGCCACGGCAGCCCCACTTCGAATCGTCCTTCCTTTCGCCTCGCCGTTGCCTTGAACACTTCCGTAGCTCTTCTATCTGTATCCTTAATTTTCGTTGTCGTGGATACCCCGAGCGCGTCGATCCGGAAGTGTTCTTCGACGATCCTATGTAGTCTGTCATCTTCACAATAGTCGCTGATCGGCGTGAAGACATGCAGGATGGCTTCGGTGTCTTGTCCATGGATGCCGCGCGGCATCGTCCCGTGGATCACCCATCCCAACTCTGTGCGGGAGGCGGCTGGCTCGTTCCTTTTTCCCATCTTGATTTCGCGTGACACGATGAGATGCCAATGGTCGGCCCCGATGAGCAACTGCGGTCTCACAGACTCGTAACACACGTCGTTGTGGTCCAATCTGCATAGATGTGGGTGTTGTAGCACGCTGACCGGTACCAACTGGCTATGCAATACCAATTGTCTGATGCGATGCGTAACTTTACTCGATGCTCGCCGGGAGAGCTCTTGTTTCCCACCGTAGCCTCAACGATCTCGCTGTTTACTCGACGGTTCGCTGCCACGCCCCGTATGTGAAGTGGCCGCGATGTTCCATTCATGCCAAGCTTCTTAGCCAGGTCCTCTTCGATGAGTGACACAGTAGCGCCTTCGTCTAGCAACGCGTATGTGTCCACGTTCCCATTCGGACCGGTCACGGTGACGGATACCACCTTCAGTAGCACGGCTATGGCACGTCAATCGTCATTAGTGGCGGTGTCTATGGACATAACGGACTCGTCGATGGTGCGGTCGGCGGCATCCGTTAGCGCAGCACGCTCGCGCTCGACAGTGTCGCCGAGGATGGCGGTTCTCGAGACTTTTGAAGCAGATCGTCGCTGCTTTGAAGATTTCCCATCTCGCTGCGTTGTCTATTTCGCCGAACCACTTGCATTTCGGTAGTGTATGATCCCCTTTGCAGACGATGCACTCGTACTTTGCGGGTGGCTGCGGCGATGGCGATGTAGGCGTCGCGGCGGTAGTAGCGTAGACGTTTTCATCTCGTTTTCCTCTTCACGGATGCGGCGTGGGCTGTGGAGGTTGCAGATGGCTTGGTGGTCTTCGCTGTAGTCGTCGTGCAAGTCGTAGGGTGCACGGCGTATTTATATCGCAGCGCGAGGTCCGCTTCCTCCGTCAGGAATCTTGACAGCATGACGATGTCCCACGCCCACGATGTCCCACGATGTCCCATTTGATTGATCGCATACATAAATCAATTAATCTTATTAGATTCCTTCGAGTGGGGGTATGCTACCCCGCGCCGCGCGGGGAGGGGAAGGTTTCTTTGTTTCTCCGTTGGTGGCGCTGTTGTCGCGGCTTGGCTCGGTGGCCTTTACAACGATATTTGAATAAATTAGGAAAAAAATATAGATATTATGAAATAAACATTTATTTTTACGGGTATTTTTAATAGTTTTATGTATGTATTTAAAATTGTTTGACGCAATTATATTTTTTTTCTAAAAACTTTAAAACAGCAATTACTTTATTATAATCTCAGAAACAGCTCCAAAAATTTTCATGACATTTAGTATGCAGACATGACATTAACTTTCAGATGCGATAATTCAATTTAATAGGTTTAATTTTTTTTATTTAATAAAAGTGCTAAGTAAAGCTTAGTCATCCAGGTACTAATCTTTTAAGAAACTAAACTTTGACGTATATAATCAAATACGAAATGAAATAAACAACCAGTCTTCTCTGCTAATATCAAACAAAAGTTTAATTATAATACACAGTTTTTTATAACAAAAATACAAAAACTTAATTAAAACTCATAAACTAAGTTGAATTAACTATTAAACTGAGATTATTATCAATGAAAGAAAACTACGTGTCCCTAGAGTTTTATTAGAAATTATAGAATACATTAACAATATATACCATTCAATTTAAAGGCTTATTCAATTCACTTTATATGTCATTATTACGAATAATTTTGAAAGTAACTTCTTAAGAAGCACTTAATGTCCAAAGAATCTTTACTATTCATCTAATTATTGTGCTGGCCAGATAACCAGTCATTGAGAAGACCCTTTCGAAAACAGAAGTACTGTAAAAATGTAAAACTTCGCCTTTTAATCCCCCGGACTCGCATAAATTCGCGCTGCCGCTCTTAAAATAAATCGTTTTTAGGCTCAAGTTCAATCTCGTTAAACTCGCGTGATCTCGCCCATTTTCCGACCGAGATTAATCTCGCTAAAAAGGCCGAGATCTCGTTCTCGCATTGAGATTGCATTCCCTAAATCTGATAACTCGACGGTTCTCGAGTGGAGACCACGAACCGGAAGGCGCAGCGTGGGTCGACCCCCGGCTAGATGGACGGACGACATCGTCCGAGTCGCGGGCGGCCGCTGGATGCAGCTGGCGCAATGTCGTCCGTCGTGGCGTTCAAAGGGGGAGGCCTATATTCAGCAGTGGACGTCTTCCGGCTGATGATGATGATGATGATGATCTGATAACTCGGATTTATATCGAGTTAAAATTTAATTAGTACGAGCTATGCAAACGCAACTCGATTAATACAAAGTAATCTTTGAATAAATTTCTTTTTTATTTGTTTAGAGGAAAATGGAAACTAACACAATGGAAATGAGCACTGAGGTTTAAATAACTTGTGCTTCCGAAATTAAGACTAAAAAACTATGATCAGTTATTAAATATTATATACATAATTAAATCATCTTAATAAACATTCAGCAATCAACAAGAAACGTCTGTTCTAAACGAGCAGCAAGGTATAACTTTAAATTTCAAAATCACAAAGACAAGTATAGTTATTTTTACTATCGCTACTGAACTTTCATGTTGACGGCGGACGTCGTGCTAGTTGTTATGTTAATTCGTACGGTGGGTGGGTATGTGCTTTTTTGGTTCTTACAAAAATATTGTTAATAATAGATTGACTTCCTACACAACCTACTCTAGAAATCAGTTTTATTGAAATATATTATTTACTAAGTATCTAGAGTAGTCATGCTCTCTTAAAATCTCTGCGGTGGTGTCGTGTGCGTTAAGTGGTTACGTTCCCTCAAATATAATATAGTTGAGCTGTATAGTTGAAATTAAAAAAGCAGCCCTTGCTGAGTTTCTTGCCCATTTTTGTCAGTACGAGATCTCCCGCCTTAGTTTTGAGAACCATTGGCAAAGATTTCGACTTTTAAAAGTAATATGTAACAGCTTAGACTGAATTGATTTTGATATTTATATTAATATCATTCGTTTTGTGGATGCATAATGACACATACAAATACAAGCTGAATACTGCGCTCCGCTTTAGTTCCTAATTCCAAACCTGAATTCGGATGAAAGTTACGAGCAACTAATAAGTTGGCTCATCACTAATGTAGGCGTATCAATCAACCAAACATCGTTCCTTTACACGTAACATATTAAACAACTTAAACTTACGATTAAAATTAAAAAATTAATTTGAAAATTAGATATTATAAGAAACACAAAACGATGTCATATTTACTAATTTTCGATATTCAATTTACTTTTATTATGTCAGAAACAAAATTTTAATGAATATCATGCACAAAATTCAAAACATCGCGAGTGAAATCTAGTATGATTTCAAGAACTATTTTTTATTTTTTAAATTATCATTATAGATCTTGCAGATTTTTGAGTTTTAATCTATATGTACATAATATTGGCCGACCTCAGAAGTTGGTACTATGCATTAAATTAATTTAAATTATTAAATTGAGTTTGTTTAATCATAAGTACCTTTTAGAAATACACTAACATATAATTGAACGACGTTAGAAATTACTTTTTATATCAATACTCTTTTGTAACATTGCATACTTAAATCAATATTAATCATTTATTTGTTACAATATTTATAAAATTAAATAAGTAATAATAATTGGTACTTATTACGAATACAAATACATGAATATGTGCGATTATGGCAATTACGTGTTTTAAATAATAACATTTAGTACAATTACTTTCTCAAGTCAATACTACACTTATTAATTACAGTTATCGTCATTATACAAGTATTTCTTTATTAATCAAAGTAATAAGTGTAACTATAACAAGCTTACAATAAGTACTAAAATCATCCTTTTATTTTTATAATTATGTCAAAACTAGCGGTGTAGATTAAATAAATAATAAATAATAGCAGCGAAGTGACATTTAGTGGCAAGAAAATCAATTTTCAATTTCTTTTTCATTCAACTTTTCAGTCGAGAAGAGTTAAAATAATTCTGTTTAGTGACTCGAGTTACATCAGGACTCGTGTCACATCACTACTACGTCATTCTTTTCTTTTGACATTTTTGTTTCGCAGATTTGCTGTGCACGTTTCTCTCTCATTGTGAAACGAAATGAAAGGTTTTGTGACGAAAGGCTAACCTGCAAAGTTTGCAGCGCAAACCTACAATTACTTAGAAACGCGTTAAGTACTACTAACGGTGTAGCCTTGGGTGAACGCTGACGTACTTACATTTCGAATGTAAACGAAATAATGGCAAATCAAGACGATTTAGTTGAAAAAATCAAAGAACAAGGTGATATTGTAAGAAAGTTAAAAGCTGCGAAGGAGTCTAGTGAAAAGGTTGGTGATTCCGCATATACATTTATAATTATATCTTATCATTGCATTCTAATACGACGTTAAACGTAGACATTGCATCAGCAGTAAAGTAAAACCATGATTATACCATAATGATGTTAATATTTATAGGGAAAGAAGAATGACTTAGGATATAACCTAGAAGAAATTAATGAATGGCTGTCTCATCATAGTTATATTTGTGGTTATACACCCAGCAGTTTTGATATTGAATTAATAAAAGATTTAGTACACCAAAATGTAGATTTTCAGAAATATCAATTCATTAAGAGGTGGTTTTACCATATGCGGAGCTTCAATAATTCTGAAATATCTTTGTTTGCTAATAATGTTCCTCCAATTGTAATGAAAAAAGTTGAGAAAAATACCATTTCCGTTCTTAATGAACAGGTTTGTTTTATAAAGTCTTAATTATTGTATTGTAAGCTTGTAGTCTGATATGTATAAAATGCGCACAATTTTCTTAATTTTAATTAGTGCACTTCAATTGTTATATAGGTGTAGACAGAAACTCCACATATGGTTATTCATCACCACTCTTTAAAATGATGGAAAGTGTTTAAAGTTATGTACTTTGGAAGCTTTATAAATGTTTTCTGTTTCCGGTGTTGATTAGTAAAAAAAAAGGGTGTGGTGATGAGAAATCATATTAGTGGAAATATTTAATCAAGCATGTCATGCAAAATGGTGAGGTTTGGCAAAAACTATGCAACAATTTTGAAACTTTACAGTGTTGTAAACAACAAAGTTTTTGCTAAAACTATTGCAACATCTTCTTGCTGTAAGGTACTGGAAAGATTTCACTTTATAATTGTTAGCTTAGGCTTAAATCTTGTTCTGGTTAAAAGGATATTTAAAAAACTACTTTCAAACTATTTATGATTTTATTTTACTGATTTATATTATGTCTACAGTCGATAATTATTTACTTTAATATCTAGTTGCAGAAAATAATTAAATCAATTTTAATTTAAATACTGATTAATCATTAAAAGTTGCTTTAATATTTAATACCACTACAATTTTTTTTCTGTAGATTACACATTCTGTAGTGTACATACATATATATATTAAGTTCCCACAATTTTCTGAGAAAATTGTATTAATATGTTAATGTTCTATTTAGAATAATATTTGAATATTTCAAATTGTTCTAATAATTATTAAGGAACAAAATAAAAAGTAGTAGACAGTGGTTTATGGTTATTTATATACTTCAATTGATTCCCCAATTATGTCACACCATTTTGACTGGCAAGACATTGTTTTGTCTTTTGGTTGATAATATTTTCTGACATTTTTTTCTGTTATTTGCTGTAATATCTGCTTATATGTAATTTTACCTTTACAGATAAAACAAGAAGTAGCTAAACTATTAAATCTTAAGGCACAGCTTGGTGCAGAAGATGTGGTTCCACAAAAGTTTACTCTCAAAACTCCCAAAGGCACCAGAGACTACAATCCACAGCAGATGACAATAAGAAATAATGTTCTACAAAAGATTGTTGCTGTGTTTAAAAGACATGGTGCAGAGTGTATTGACACACCTGTGTTTGAGTTGAAGGTTAATAATTTAATTCAATACAAGTTTCAAATGTTTTCTATTAATTTCAACTTGACAAAAGCAACTTATTGAAGGGATGATAATCATTTATGACTGATAAGTTTTTTTTTCACTACAGGATGTATTAACTGGCAAATATGGTGAAGATTCAAAGTTGATTTATGACCTCAAAGATCAAGGAGGAGAAATCCTTTCACTAAGATATGACTTGACTGTCCCTTTGGCAAGGTATTTAGCTATGAATAAGATTAACACTTTAAAACGGTACCATATTGCAAAAGTGTATAGACGGGACAATCCAGCTATGACAAAAGGAAGATACCGGGAATTTTATCAATGTGTAAGTATCCAAACAGTAATTGAGTTTTCATAAAAGTTTTACATTAAACAGTATTCTGTTAGTAACATTAATTGTTAAAGGTTCCATAGGAGCCACTTTTGAATTTTTTTTTCAACAATGACAGTCAAATGTGTAATTACATTTTTGTCATGTATTTGAAATTTTACTTTTTTGTGATTATGCAGTTTTTACTTTGTTTTACTTTAAGCTTTTTAATAAATTTGTATAAACTTCATTATAGGATTTCGATATAGCTGGCCAGTATGACCCCATGGTCCCTGATGCAGAATGCCTTAAGGCAGTCACAGAGATTTTGAACTCTCTTGATATTGGGAAATATGTCTTGAAGGTTAACCACAGAAGGTTGTTGGATGGTATGTTTGAGGCTTGTGGAGTACCTAATGACAAATTCAGGTCAACATGTTCTACTGTTGACAAACTAGATAAGGTTTGTTTATTCATTATTTAAAGAATAATAAAAGAATATTATAAACATATAAACAGATATTTAATCTATGAGGTTAGAATACAAAATTAAGGTTTGTCTATGAATATTTGCCAGCCTTATGTGTATAAAAAATATGTAAACTCTTAATCATAAATTCTGAAATATTATAAACTTAATCATGCAGTCAGCATTATTAAGTTCCTTATTTATAACGACCTTGTCAAGTGGCTTACATATGTGGAGAGTTCAAGGCCAACTTGTATTATACAACATCCTGGGCAAAATTGATTCATATAATATTATAATTGAATTACCGTGTCTTTTTATGTTGTATATATCTCGTTTATTGTGATCTGACCACTTTTATAGCACTTGAAAGAACAGTAAATTTGGCACCAAACTTAATTTGATTTATTGAAGTAATACAAAATTTTGTACAATTTTAGAGAAAGTGGACTTCATGCAGGCATGGCGTAAATTTAGTCAGAGCTATTTGAATCCTGAACTTTCATTGTCCTGAACTTATAAGTCATATTTGAGTTAGCTATCTTGTTTGTATTAATAAAAAAAAAAATACTTTGAACTATGGTATATTTATTAAAGTGATAATTTTCTTAGTAATTAAAGTTTTAGATAAATCAAAATTAGATAAGATATTGTGTATTTCATTAATCTACACAAACCCAATTGTGCCTGCGTTAAATTCAAAGATTTTCCAGTACAACCTAATTTGTTAAAAATAATATGCTTAAAAATAAGACCTAGACATAGAAAACGGCAATTAAATCAATCACTTGATCTGAATAGCATACATGCCGATGTACGTGTTGCGTGAAGCATAACATGTAATTATAAAGTTCATAATACAGTAAAACATTAAGATAAATAATACTTCAACATTGTTATTGATTTGTGTTCGCACGACTTTTACTTCGTCAGTAATAACAATCACGACTGTCACAAATATTTACGCTAATTCATGCAAACGTGACTCAATACCCGGATTTTAATTGGAGTTTTTGAATTTGTACCTAATGATAATTATGGGTTTGACGAATTCAGCGCAGAAAATGCTTATAGTAATCGTATTGCATGAATGAATTTAAATTTGGAAATAGAAGAAAGCACACTTATCATTGCATCTGATAAGTGGATGTATGATTTCCATAGATTAAAGAATTTAAAAAAATGTTCTAGTAATGTTTGAAGCTTATTCAAACTAAATAACTTATCATATCTTTCCTCTTATAATATCAGTATAGATAACAAGCTGTTTCATTTTGCCAGTTATCTTAAGAGATGTCACTTACCAACAAGTAATAAATATGCTTACAATACTGATTGTAGGATAAATCATTTACTAACAAGGCGCCATCATCAGCTCTTACATTCCCACTGCAGGAGTTCAAGACTTTTGTTATGGAAGGTTAAAGAAAATAGGCTTTGATCCTCCATGCTGACCCAATGCAGCTTAGATCAACAGTACGGAGTAGATAATTTTTCCATACATATGGAAAGCCTGAGCCCCAGCAGTGGGGCGATTAATAAGACAATAGGATGCTTTTGCTATGAATGATATACAGAATCTTATAGTAATATTTTATTATTACAGTCACCTTGGGAGGAAGTGAGAACTGAAATGATAAATGAAAAAGGTGTGAGTCCCGAGGCAGCCGATAGAATTGGAGAATATGTCAGGTTGAATGGTGGTGCAGAATTAGTGGACAAGTTACTAAAGGATGAGAAGCTATCTAAAGTTAGTGCAGCAATAGAAGGTCTCGAAGGTATAAAATTATTGCTGGAATATTGTGTACTTTTTGGTATACAAGATAAGATATTGTTTGACTTGAGCTTGGCAAGAGGCTTAGATTATTATACTGGAGTCATTTATGAAGCTGTTTTGACCGGTGAGTATTATTTGTTTCTTCCTGATAATATCCTTAGTTATCTTAGAGTACCATTCTTACAACATTCAACTGTCTTGTGTGGCTATAAGATGAGTAGGATTCGAAAAGGTTGAATTATCAAGTAAGATATAAAATAAATGTTAAATTTACCAAATATAGTAATTTCAAATACTGTTTAGTGATAGTAAGTTAGCTGTACGGTTATCGAAGTCCACTAAAAATCAATATGTATAATAATTAATATGTTAATTTGAAATAGATTTTTGATATTAAATATCTGTTTCCTTTCAGAGCCAATTAAAATCGGTAATGAAGAGCAAACTGTCGGCTCTATAGCTGGTGGTGGGAGGTACGATAACCTTGTTGGAATGTTTGATTCTAAAAACAAACAGGTAATTTTTTATAATAGTTCACTTAATTTTACACCTTTCGTAACCATAGTTTAAAAATAGAGTAACTAAAATGTTTCATAGTAAAATTAGCTATAATACAGGTAACAAATTACTTAATACTAAAGTAATAGTTTTATCGAATATCTTCATAATCCAATGCGTAAGATTTTAGTATAAATTTTGAGTCAGTAGACCAAGATGGTTTTATTAAATGCTGATTACAACTGAACATAAGCATCGATCAGCGCAGTCGCGAAACTTGACTTCTTTAAGTTCGTATGAAAGAAATATTCTTGTAAAGTTAACAAAGTGCCTGGAATATTGTTGCAACTAAGTTTTGTAGTGAGACTATGGCATGAGGGCCTATTTATCTGTTTATTTGGTCAAATAAATTTCGAGTTATATGGCACTTTCTGCATCTTTATGTTATAAACATAACTATAGTGTTCCTAGAGTAAGCAAAAAACGCACGATTACACAAAGTATTATGTGTGTGTTGAAAGAAACGATACATTAATATGCGGAAACAATACAGAGGTGTATTGATAAAGATACGTTTCAGGGGGTCGATTCATCAGTTATCTATCTGATATCTGAAAACATTCACTGAATATGGATATGCTACCCAAACTGCCCTAGATGGTGTCACAAACTCATATTCATATCTATAGGTAGTTTCGTCAATCCGTCTTTAAAATTTTCTTCTCAAGCTGGGTGACAGTTGTATAACCAAGCGCAGAAGACATGTCCAAGTTCAAGTCCTCAGCAGTTTTAATGGTGCGAAGGGTTGTGCCATAGCGATCGCCTAACCGTTTGCTCAGTGTGCCGATTATGGATAATCGGCGCACTGAGCAAACTGGTTCAATATTACTGATAACCTTAACAAGCGGCCCCCGGATCCCGGTAGGCCTTTCGAAGTTGACGGGCATGGTAACAGCAGTCCAAGAGATGCAAAGGGATTAGAGTAGCCCAAAAAGTTTAGTGTCTGAACTCGCTGTATTTTATTATATTTATATCTTTTAATTACGACCTCCGTAAAGTGTCGCCATCTCTGAGATCCTGGGTTCTATTCCCGGTTGAGTCCATGTGTTGTGGTATCTTCGTTGTCTCAGATACTGTGCGAAGATTTGTTATTTATTTATTTTTTCCAGGTTCCATGTGTGGGGGTCAGTATAGGTGTAGAACGCATTTTCTCAGTTCTCGAAGCAAAATTGGCAGCGGGTGAGATGCGTGTGCGCACCAACGAAGTTGATGTTTACGTGATATCTGCGCAAAAGAACTTCTTAGAGGAACGGATGAAGATATGCAATGAACTCTGGAATTCAGGCATTAAGGTATTAAGTTCTTTACATTTAAATTTATTGTAAATATAAATACTATTATATATATATTTTCATTCAAAGTATTTTGTAAACATTTTAGCGGGCCTCAATTATTTCTCGCCGTAGCTTAACTTCTAAGCTTAATCAAGATTAGTGTCTCCTATGTACACTAATCTTGTTTAAATTTAGTTACTAATTATTGTAAAGGTATTATTGTTGATAATAGTTTCTTAGCGGAATGTTAGTTAAGGTTTGGAAAACCATTGCAGTTGTCCTTAAAGTAGCTAATTAAAAAAAAATGTTACAGGCTGAACAATCCTACAAAAAGAATCCCAAAATGCTGACCCAGCTGCAGCACTGTGAAGATAATGGTATTCCGTTGGCTGTGGTATTAGGTGAATCGGAATTGAAACGGGGCATAGTAAAAATTAGGAACGTCGTTTCCCGGCAAGAAGACGAAGTCCCAAGGGAGAAACTCATTGATGAACTTAAGGCACGGATAGCAACTCTAAACAAGATCGAAATGAATGGTTATTAATATAATATTAGATACAAAATTATTTTAAAACCCCACTAATTGTCCTTATATTTATTTTCATTTGTGATTAAGCCATCCTTACCTGTTACAGTTGTTTTATATGCTATATTAGTAAATTTTAAGAAATGTGAACCTTAAGGAAATTAGTTTAAATTACCTATGGAAACAATAAACTTCTAGAGTTTTCAGTTTATGGTGGGACCAGTCCAGGCTCCGGTACATTGTTATAAGTTTATACAGTATTGAAAATTTGTTATATAAGCCTATAACAGGGGTTGGCAGCGTATGGGCGGCTCTTTCGGTGTAAAGATACGGCTCTCAAGTTCAGTTAAAAAAAAATTGTCAAAACAAAACAGTTGAATACCATACTATAATAAGATTGAGATATTTTCTATGACTAAGAGATAATTATCAAACTAGTTTATCTTAAATGAAATATATCAAATAGAAGTTCAAATAATATTAAAGCGAAATTTTTCAGTAGCTCTTTCAAAATTGTGATATTTTGTAAAATTTAGATTTTGACTCCTCCATCCCATAAGTTTGGCGACTCCTGGCCTATAACAATATTAAAGACGATCATACCTCTAAGATTAATTGTGACATAACCATAGGGATGATGACAATTTTGTATTATTTATTTGTCCTTCAGGTAGATTATTGAAGAATATTAAACAGTTATTTATTATCTTTTGCGAAATCAATAAGTTACGGCGAACTTTTTTCATTTTATACATAGTTGTGACGTAGCGGGCTCCGCCTCCTCAATTCCTTTAATGCCTAATATAAGCCATTTATTGTTTAGTTGAAGTAAAAACAAAAGTATAAAATACTTATTTAATATTTTTCAATTATCTGACAGACGGACTAAATTTTTTTTTTCCTTACCCAGTCATCATCGCTATGATGTCGTCTGGACACCTTGTGAAGATTTTTTTTATGCTATACTTAAAAGTTAAATCGATTAACTTTGTTAGTTTAATTGTGTTCAAAAATAATTTTATGTTATGAAAGTATGTCGAGTTTATAGTGTGTATCATTAGTTCCTCGTTTTTAATCCGTATACGTCATGCATTTTTTTGTTTACACTCGCGTGTGAGTATTTTGTTTTATATTAGTAATTTATTTAGGAAATATAAGTTCTCGTACAATATCATCTTTTTTTTTTCTTAATATATTTTTGTATATGTGAGAACAGTAGTACCTAATAAAGAATCCGAAGGATAATGTGATTTTCATTTTGATAACTTTTTCTTTATTATTTATTAGCCTTCCACCAGCGGCTTCGCCCACGTGATCCCTAGGAACTGTTTATTTGGATAGCGATTCATATGACACAGATATAATTACAATGACGAATATCATACAAGGGTTACTATGGTTACGATTTTTCTCTATACAAACTTCCGCTCCTATTTTCATCCCTCTATTTGTTATTTTTAGGCATAATATGTAGCTTATGTTCAGCGCATATAATTTAGCTATCCATAGATGAAAGAATTTTTAAAAACAATATTTCCTCTTTTAGTATAAATGTTTGTTATGAAATCTACTATCTAAATCTGAGTGAATACAATATTATAACATACTAGTGGACGCCCGCGACTTCGTCCGCGTGGAAGTCGGTATCCCGTGGGAGTGAGAAGTTTTCCCAGTAAAAAGTACCCTATGTGTTATTCTGATGTATAACCTATATTGCTGTAAAGTTTTATCCAAATCCGTCCAGTAGTTTTTTCGTGAAAGAGTAACAAACATCCATACATCCATACTTACAAACTTTCGCCTTTATAATATTAATAGGATGCCCAATAGCCGTAACCATGCAACCTACTGCCATAGTTAAAGTAATGCAGGTCGTGACGTGACATAATTAAAATATGCGTAACATACCAAACCAGTCAATTATATTAATTACCTATGTATCATGTTACAAAAGACACGCTTGCCTTCCTGTAAAATTAATAAAAAAAGCACTAGCTGTTTTCCCGTGACTTTGTCCGCGTAAATTGGTCTGTCGTATTTCCCGTAGGTGAAACAATGTTCATGGGCGGATCAGTATTTCCGGAGATGGTCCCCTAAAAACAAAATTATAAAGCTATCCACGATATATTATTGATGTAGATTGTTATAGAAATCTGGAAATACGAGGCCCGAGACAGTATAAAAAAATCTACATAGACTCAACTGGAATCTGCGACTCCTTGAGTGCAAGCTAATAGGGATGATGACTGGGTAAAAAAAATGCAATTCTATTTAGTCCGTCAGTCAGATGATAGAAAAATATTAGATACGTATTCTTTTTTTACTTCAATTTAACAAGAAATAGCTTAGATAACAGGCGTTAAAGTTGAGGAGTGGGGGCTCGCTACGTCACAGTTGAGCAGAAAACGTACTCTAACGTGACGTCATGCGAAATTTCAACGCAATGTAACGCCGTAATTTTATGATTACGATAAAATTTAAAAAATACGTGTTTAATATTTTTTAACACTCTACCTGATGGACAAACAAACAAAATCTAGTCATCATCCCTATTGTCACGACACGGATGGTAGCTTATGGCCTATTCTCTCTGTCCAATTTCGTCCACAGGGAAGGCCCCAACGATGGGGACGTCAATAGGCTGATGATAATGAAAATAATTAGCGGATACGGGCCCGATTGAAGCAAGTTTAACGTAATGACGGATTAACAATTGAATTCGACGTAGAACATTGTATCGCCATAATGTCCTTGAATATTCGCCAACTTTATTTCAGTAGTTGCAATACACTTAATTGTTTTTGTATTAAGTGGGTATCCTGAATTCTCCGTTCTTTGTTTGCCGTTACTTGGCACAGGTTCTCAAAATAATGTATCTGTTATCACAATGTTTTTTAAAGTTATTTACAATATTATAAGTAGGTATACTTAAAAAAAAATTATAGACGTCGTGCAGAGGATTCGTAGAGGTTAATCAATATTAAGGCTTCAATAAGTTTCGTGAACCGACTTACTAACAGTTTTATTTTTACAAAAACATACTTTATTATTTTTACTTAGTGAATGGGTATAGGATACCAAACGTTTTGTAATTTTTTTTTCGGTGACATAAGTATTTTTGTTATTTGAAAGGCTGTTTTTTTAGCTAATTTGAAGTATAATCTATATCTATACTAATTTTATAAAGAGGAAAAATTTTATTGTTTATTTGTGTTTTGTTGCTTGCAACGAATAGGCTCCGAAATTACTGGGCCGATTTTATAAATTCTTTCATCTATGGGAAGCTATATCTTATGCGGTTGACATAGGAGTCAATTTCAAAAAAGACTTGTCCTCAGTATTAAAAAGGGTTTACAAAGAAAAAATTGTTTGACATGATATAAATTTTTTAATGATGACTAGTTTTATTTCTTTAATAAAGAAAGTGAAAAATTAATTAGAATACACAAATTTGATGAAATAACATATTATAAAAACTATGTCATTTTTCTTTTCATACAAAATCTTTATGTCCTACCCTTGCATCGCTAAAATCAAATTAGAAGTATTCAAAAAATGATGTTAGTTGCATAAACTAAGTTTATGTGGATATTTTTTGATTAATTTCTTTAAAAAAATCCCTCAAGATAACTTGTCTCCACTTTTTGTCTTTTGTATAACGTCATTTGTATGACAAAGAATATGATATTTAACAGTAAGGAAAGCATCCATAACTGTTATTATATTGGCATTACTATTACTGCAAATCTAAGAAAATCGAATGTGAGCCATCTTTGATTTTTTAGAGTAATCAATCGACCGAGACTTTTTAATTGGATTTTGTTGTAAAAAAAAGAGCCAGTTGTGTGAAGATAAATTATTTGAGATTTTTTATTTTTTTCTTGCCAGTCTTCATTATTTAAGAGATTAGTCTATGCGTTAGTAATAAGTAAAGCAGAACAGTAAATATCCTGCCAATTTTATAGCCTAAATTGTGAGCATTGACTTTGTCACAGCAAAATTTGGTTCCATTGGATGACATTGGATGACATTGTTTAACATCATACAAAGGAAACCATCTAAAGATTTATACACATTGGCTTTTCTTTTTTAATGCAACAATAAAAAAAAATCCATTTTATGTTTATTTTCTTAAGTACCATTGATCGTTTATATGATTCAAAGTTTTGAGGTGAAGCTCTTTAATTTAATTTTATAAGAAGAGAATTGTTTTTTTTGTCAAGTAGAAGATGAGCATTTATGTTACAACAGCTTAACATTAGTTTAAAAATATAAAAATAAATATATATTTAAAACCAACTTATATATGCCTGATACGATGAACATGCAACATCTATATTTTATGTATTATGAACTCTTCCTTAGAATTTCTTGTGTGACATAAAAATAATTTGTATGACAAACTGCAAGAAAATCCTTTGTATGACGTATAATTTTTATGAAATTGACTCATAGGCTTATAATTGACACGGGCGAAGTTGCGGTAAAATATATAGATTTTTCAATAGTTAAAAACAAATTTCATTATTATATTTATCAATAAAAAAAAAACATCATAATCGAAACTTAAATTTCTTTTATAAATATTTCTTTCGACTGTTTAGGTGGATTGCTTGAATTTTGATGAAAATACGCTCGCTAGTAGCGAAAAAGTCCCGTTAGGTCTCGAATAGCTCATAGGTTTGAGCAGTCGCCTGAATTGCAAAAGGTTGTGGGTTCGAGTCCTACCTCGAGGTACCCGGGGCGGTGATTTTTTAAGCATTTTTCATGAAAAATAAATAGTAAATTCTGGAATTTCGAAATTTTCCTCATCACAGGCGTAAGTTGTCGAATATAAAAGGAATTTTAAAATAGAATTCAGAATATTAAATAAGTTCTTTAATGAGTAGTCCCGCGTCAGTAAAAATCTTATATTCTATACTGACTCTATATTGACTTTATTTATTATAGCATGGTACTTTTTGAGTTACTCGCGAAAAAAATTCTGAAATTATGTGTTCAAAAAAATTTACATTTTCATTCGGGTATAAGTGAAAAAGTAGATAGTCATTGACTTTTATCTTATAATATTTATTACGATTTTACTTACCCTATTCAAGCTTTAGAAAGATCTTGCACATTTTTGTCACGAGCTCTTAGACTAGCAGGTGCAGAACTTAAATCCAAATATTTATGAAAATACGGGAACAATTAAAAAGGTCATTGACCTGACTGATGTCGGATACGGGACGTATTAGAATTTCTTGTTTTGTAAAACTTTTATTATACATAGTGTATAATAAAAGTCCTATATGTTTCTGTTAGGTCTATTTAAAGCTTAGATAAATATCTTGGCTTGAATCAATAAAGAGTTTGCTCTCAGTACACACGATATTGTTGTTTTGGGGTTAAAATCAATGTGAGTTCTCAAATAAAAAAAAAACTCATCCCGAAAATTAATTGATCAATATTAATAATATACTTATAATCGCAATTGGTAAAAAGTTGTGGTGTTTGATTCAATGACCTTACGTCAATGTCCCCGATTAGGTTTTATTGACCTCGACCGGTAAATATCAATGGCTCGCTGCACGTCCGCGTGCTTCTATTCCAATAACGTCATGTCATGGACGGTGTCCACGTAGTTTGAGCGCTCATTGTTCCCGGTAACAGCCTCGATGGTTCCTGTCATTGTGCCCTGATTCGCCGTGAAGTCCAACACGATTTCCAACAATATAAAACTGTTTTTGCAACAAATCTCCCACTTATTACGCGTCTGACCGCTTTGGCATCGATACCTTTCTTTTGGTAGTAAGCTTTTATAATTGTGATGAGATGATTCCACGTTTTAAACTTTTTTTCTACTCGTTGATGTGTGTTACTCTTTTGACTTCGAGTGTTAGTGCATCAGTTGTGGCACCCGTGGTGAAGGAAGCTTTAGAAGATCACTTGAAGGATGTTGCGCATAAAGAAGGAGCAGAGTCCGTCAATATTGACAAGCAGAAAGGTGAGAAAATTCATCAAATTGAAAGTGATATAAATGAAACACATAAAAATCAATTCGCTAAAGCAACCGACGAAGGCAAATATTTAAAGAAGGATCACGATTTGAAATCAGCTTCTGAAAGCGATGCTTATGATGGTTATAATACTAAACAAGACAAAGAAGAAGACAGCCAAGCTAATGGATTTAAAAGAGGTCACAAGAAAGGGCACCATAAACAAGGTTTCCAGAATTCTTATCACAAAGATGAATCTTCGAACAAGAGTACCTATTTTGATGACTTCAATGACGAAGGCGATCAAGCAGCTTATAATAGTCGTTTGAATAGTTACGATAACCAAGCTGGAAGAAGATATCAAGGTGCACATAAGAATGGACAAGAACATGTTCGAGATGATTATGCAGGTGGGGGTTATAATAGACACGGGGAGAACGGTTTAAAACATATTGGGCATCATGATTATGGAAAGAAATATTATTTGAATGATGATGAACATTATAATAAAGTTAAAAATGGTCACAATGCATACGACAGAAATAGACATTATGATAGACAAGAGCAACATCTTCCTCCTCCACCTCCGCCTCCCCCTCCTATTCATCATCATCATCATGACCCAGGTTGGGATTTAAAGGGTTGGGATGATAGGCGTGGGTGGGATGATCGACGGGGCTGGAACCGTGATGATTGGCAGCGAGAACCGGGTTGGGATAGACATTATGGTGGACCAGGGTATTACGACGATCATGGCATAAGACACGACGGAGGATATGGTTATGGACCTCACCACGGTTACGGTTACGGCTATGATGAATCTCGAGCAAAACCGGTAGCTCAAATTCCGCAAATTCCTAAAAACTCCCCTATAGTCGCTCAACGAAAGCAGACTATTACGATTTATGAAGATCCAAGATACAATGGAAAGGATAAAGGACAATTAAGACGTGAGGAAGGCGATTATCTAGAATTGGAATTCAAACCAAGTAGTCATCGTTACGCTAGTTATGACGATACATATTATAGTGCTCCAACAAGAGAAAGAGAACAAGGAGTGGAGACTAGCAAAATAAATAGACTTGTATACAACTACAGACGACAATAATAGGTATAGCACAGTAGTCTAATTCTTATTGCATAAACGTGCTTTCTAGAGATACTCATTAATGTATTCCTTTATTTATTGTTAGGCTTATTATTTGAGTCATCAGTTCAATGACTGAGGGGTGGTGGTAGATTATCAAAAGGCAATTAATAAAAGTACCTAGTTAATAAACACAGTTTCGAATGAAACTGCATATTCGTTTTTGTCTCTAAGAAATAAAAACGAACTGTAAATAAACGGAATCCATTTCCATACACACAAAAGATTTTTATTACAATACCTACATCCTTTAACGGTAGAAATCAATATCGGATATTCATGTGATGTCTCTGATATGCAAGGAAATCTTGATATTGCATATTTGCCTATGTTCAGTGAGTCATGCAAGGCAAATACAGGTGCTTTGAAGGAAGATTCCTAGGGGCAGTTATTCGATGACAGTGGGACGGTCAGTCGGGCGATAATATGGTGAGCTCTGGAACGTGACGGCGGCGATGGGTGCTTGGGAGCGTATTAAATCTTGTCATTGGTCCAAGTGAGAACCTCATGATATTTTAAATGTTAGACACAAACATTTTTGCCACTACCAAAAACAATCAATTGTGTACGATACTTATCTACTTTACCTTTCTCATCTGTGGTGACATCACAATTTGTTCACAGCGGCGTGAATTCGCAAAACTCCTGGGTGTCTTTGACAATAATTCCAGCCAAGTTTCCGAATTAACTCGCTTTATTACCCTTTCCGCTTTAATTAAAAGACATCGTTGTTGAGGCACCACCTACTCGTAGATATTTTTCAGTGCTTTTATTTGTAATTTAAATTTTGCAACCCTTCGTTGTGATTCCGTTGTGGGGGACAAACTAATTTAAACGCTAAGCTCTCAACAAAGTCTCCTTTTATAATATGTATGGACTGGGTAACATTTTAAAATTGGATTACCAAGCATCCATCCTCATAAGGTAAATCGATTAAACATTGAGGATTTTTGCATAATTTTGTTACTGATTTTTTGTTGACTATTTTGAAACATAATTTTAATATATTTTTTTAAACAGGCGCTCAAAACTTGATGAACTACAAAAAAGATAAGTATTAATCTCTTGGTTTTTGTAGGTAATTAGGGCAATATTGACTTAAAATAAATTGGCTAGAAATTTACCACTATCTCCATAATTTTTAGTCTCTTCACTGCTTTTGTTTGTGAATAAACATGAGTACGGTCAGACAAAAGTGTAGTGGATACGAATATTACCAGCTAATCTGCAATTTTAAAAATATCACTTGCAATTGAATCACTCTCTTTGGGAGGTTGTTTATGTTAATCGTAACTGAATTAATCAATGGGTTAGTTTACATAAAGCTTTGAGTCGTTTGCGGTTAAAGGTGTGATGCGATAAATCAACAAAATAAAAAACAAATTCATTTCATTTATACATTTAGTTGCAGCTTAAACAATAATTTAAATTTGGGTTCACCAAAAAGTATTGCTAGCGATCTTTTGCATAAGATTAATATAAACTTCTTATTCTCATAGTTTTTGTAACCTCTGTAAATATTTATTTAAACTTACTAAGAGAAGAAATCGTAAGTCCAATCTTCCATTTATCTCTGTTTCTTCTTTTATGGTACTTTTAACGGCTTAGTGACTATCCTAGGGCACTAAAGCAATTTCAAATTGGACGCTCGAATAACACGCCAATAATCGTTAGCAGCGATCGGAAAACAAAACTGTGATTACATGGTATTATCTTGAGATTTTCTGTCCCTATCTATTACTTGGTCGTTGATACATCCCTCTCATTTTTCACAAGAGGGGATAGACGAGATAGAGTGAGTAAAGTAATGACTTTAACGAACTTTCGATGGTCCATTGTAGGATGGGGTTGGAAAGATATTTCCTAGTTGGATTTGGATTTGATTTGAAAGGACTTAACGTGACTTAAATCAGAATATTTCTACGATTATTATACAGGGGGACTAGATCGTTTTTCATTTTGTAAGACCTATATACTTATACGAATTTTATTTTACATTTTTTTACGTTACCTATATCATTGTAAATAAATTGTTGTGTGGATCTGCAACTTAATATTTTTGGGTTCTAAATAATGTCGCTTATATTTCATTCGTTTTCGCAATTTAACGATTATATAAGTATGGCAGGATTAAGTTAATATCAGGATAAGTATATTTAAAAAATGGTTTTTAATCAATAATACGAACAACATAGGGTATATCAGGAAGTGAAGTATGACAACATTGTAACTTAATAATCATAAAACCGACAAAATCTTTCAAAAATTTAGATAAGATTAGGTAGGTTTATGTTAAAATCTTTAATTATAATAAGTTTCTTTGCAACGCTTTTGCAACTATTTGAATTGAAGGATCGTCCTGCAATTCTAGGTGTCACAAATAACTCCACAAACTGTTACCATAAACAGAAATTATTTTAAAAATCGACACTAGCGTGTAATATTAACACGTTCAATCAATAAGAATATGTCGCATATAAAATTAGTTTCTTGCCACTTCTTCTCAGTATGTACCGATAATTCCACTGTGGATTTACGAATGTTAAATAAACTATTTGTGTATGTAAAAAAATGTTTGCATTAAAAAATTAACATTAGATTGTGTAAATGAAGTATAAGTATATCTTTAATGTAGTCAATTTTATCCTTTATAAAGACCAAGCTATTGCGTCGTCATCCCCACGACGACGACATTACAATGAAGTTGCTCGACTCTTATCACGGCACTGTTTATTGTCTGAGTTGGCTAGGTGGTTGTTTTGTTGCCGATTCTCGACGATTCACTTTATATGAACAAGTTGCTCCGTAGTTTCAGAAGCGTCTTTACACTTTGCGATACCCTTATATGCTAGTTAAAGTAAAAATATTATGATGTTTTCTACGGAAGGCTATTTGATGACGTAGAGTAAAGCGTAGCTACGCTAATTAATTACAAATACGTACCTGTCTTTTCTATTATAAATATTACCGGTTTAATGGAAATAGATAATGTATTAGGCTATTTATTTTATTGGTTATATTTTTAATACTCTTTCCATCTATTAATTTTATACAAAGACTTGTTAATTGGGATTTAAAAACTGATAATATTATTTCTAAACGGATTATCATAATTTGAACAGGATTACGTTGTTGTATCAGATGAAAAAAATGACTATGGTTTACTTTTTCTTATTTAAAACTAGCTTCCGCCAGCGGTTTCACCCGCGTGGACCCTAAGGTAATGTTTAGTTGGATAAAAAGTATCCTATTATCTAATTCAGCTAATACTCTATCTGTATACCAAATTTCATCGAAATCCGTTCAGTGGTTTCGGGTTGATTGACAGACAAACGTCCAAACATCTAAACATCCAAACAAAGAAACTTTAACATTTATAATATTAATAGGATAAATAATTACCCATATAGAATGAAAGTTTAAGGAAGAGGCAAACTTTTTCCTTATAATAGTCAACTCATCGTAAGGTGCCGTAAGATGCGACATCCTAAATATTTTCAAAACAAAATTTATTTTGAGATCGGGTCGTCCTGTGTAATTCTTACTTAAAGGGGTATTCGTTGAGTCGTGACGAATCCATTGCCTGTAGCTAACTAATTGCTATGAAATAAACCGGTCTCATGGGACAACGGCCCCGATTTTGTTTTAATCGAAATTTTCCAAGCAAAGCGTCATACTTTTGGTGCAAACGAAATTAGTCTGAATTAATTGCATTTATATCAAAATGTTGTAGATTGTATATACAATGAATTAAGCATTTTTCAGTGATGTTTTTTTCTAGGTTACATTATAAAACATTAATAAAAAGTATGGATATGCATCCATCATGATTATTGGTATACCTAACTTGGGGGAGCCCCTAATAAATAGGCAAGTAATCGTATACAGTAGTTAAGCGTAGGGCTCATAAGTTATTGGTGCTACGTCTTGTTTGCATACGACGCTGCGCAATACGTTATACAAACAGCCTTCAGGTGAATTACGGTTTGTAGTTTTGCTTATTAAGGATACCAATATGGCGGACCTTGATAAGATTTCGGTTTGTCTTGGCGCGCCTCCGTGCCTGAAGGCGGCTTGCGGGCATTTGGAGTTCAGGTTACTGAAGCACATGAAATGCGGTGAAAGTTGCTCTACTTATTTAATAATATTATTTACTATTACAATAAAAATACATAAAGACCGTAATTCCTTGAATTAAAAAAAAAATTGTAGGTATATTAATATTTGGTCAGAGATGTTGAAGCTTTTAACGGCAAATACTATGATTAATTTTATCTATGAATCTACTATAAATGAATATTGATCCACACCTTTATGAAATTGCTGTTATTTAAAGTATGGGATATTTCAAGTATGGATTTTATTTGAATTTTTTGATCGGATCAGATCTAGTAATCTAAAAGTGAATGAAAAATCATTAGGCAATTAATTTATTGGGCAAACAATTTAAACAAACCATTTTAATAAAGATAAATAAAGACAAAACCTATGATTTTGATTCTTTACAGCAAGGAATTTAATCGGAATTTAAAGTGCCTTTATTCCGACATAGGGACAAAATAAATATCAACATCATGATTGTTGAAGATGTCTTAAACCGTTAGAACTTAAAAAATATTTAACAAAATAAATTTTATTACATTAAAATGTTATACTTTGGTAACTTGAAAAAGTAAGGAAAATATATTACAAAAATATTACAAATATATTACGTACATGGCATACAATTAGTAACATAAAATGTAACTAATTGAATTGGTAAATACATACCTTCTTATGCATTAAGAAAGTTGTTAATATATAAGTGTAATAAGTATAAAATATAACAACTTTCTTATACTTATTACACTTACTACACCACTTTTACATAAGAAAGTTGTTTCATTTTGCTAGGATCAACATAAACGCACAAATCAAAAAAATCACAAAGATTGCCAAGACGCCCATAAGGTTTTCGTTATTGAGCACGGCGTGACGTCACTTCGTGGCTTGAATTATTAGGCAGCGTTTCCGACCGACTAACAGCAGTTCCTTAAATCCAGCACAGTATCTCCAAAAAATTTAAAGAAGCCATGCTGATACTTCTACATTTTTCTCAGATATTAATCTATTTAAAATAAAAGAAAGTAGTAAATTAGCCATTCAATATAACCTCTACATCCTTGGCATTGGAGGCAAGTTCTTAGTGATACTTGTTGTGTGGATCGGCGGATCGCCTTTTTTCCCTTAACATCATTCGTAACATCAAACATTTTTTAAATTAATAGTTCTCATGCGTCTGGCGAATGTTAAATATTATATTTTCACAGTAGAGTGCCTATCAAGACACTTCGCTTTGAAATT